TTTTTTTTTTTTTTAAACTGGATCGGGAGGGTCTGATTTGGCATTTTCTCCTGACAGTTGATAGGCATTTTTTTGCGAACATCAGCAACCGATCCGATCCAGATATGGGATCGGGACTAGTCTAGTTTTGACGGAGGGATTTACCGAAAGTGCAGCTTGGTGCAGGGCTGGGGGGCGTCCCCGGAGCGGACGCAGTCCTCCTTGGTCCCGTGGTCGCAGAACTCCTGCACCTGCGCGCGGCCCCTGGAGCGGAACTTCTCCACGATGGACTGCTCCTTTGCTGTGCTGGCGTTCAGCAGCTCCAGGATCTCACGGCTCACCTGGAGACAGGAAACCGCCAAATTGAGTTCTGCAGAGCCATAGACGGGCTAGGGGCTAACCCTAACCCTAACCCTGATCCTAACCCTGACCCTAACCTTAACCCCAACCCTAACCCTGGCCCTAAACTCAACCCTGACCCTAACCCTAAAACTAAGCCCAAACCCTAATCCTAACTCTCCACCCTAACCCTGATCCGAAACCTGACCGTTGACCCTAACCCTGACTCTAAACCTAACCTTAACCCAAACCCTAACCTCAACCCTAACCCTAAACTCAACCCTAACCCTGACCCTACACCTAACCCTGACCCTAAACCTAACCTCAACCCCAAGCCTAACCTTAACCCTAACCTTAACCCTAACCTGAACCCTGACCCTAATCTTAACCCTAACCCTGACTCTAAACCTAACCCTATCACTAACCTTAACCCTGACCCTAACCCTGACCCTAAACTCAACCCTGACCCTAACCCTGAACCTAACCTTAACCCTAACCCTAACCTTAACCCTGACAGTAACCCTAACCCGTACCTTCTTGCTCTGCTGCTCCTTGGTGGATTGCTGGTTCAGGAGGTTCTCGATCTCCATGTCCAGGTGGGACGACTGGCTCTTGCTGCTCCTGCTCTTCTTCTCTGCGCCCCCGCCCGAGGCCGAGGGCCCGGCCATTGGGCAAGAGGAGGCGGGGGTCAGGGAGGAGATGGAGGAGATGGAGGAGAGCGGCGGGGGGGCGGCGCTCTGCCGCGAGGGCGGGAACCCGGCGCCGGCCGCCATCTTGCCGAGCGCCTGGTCCTCCGCCTTCCTCTTGACCCCGGCCCTCTGGGCCCCGCCCACCGACCCAATCATGGCCCACAGCTTGGTGTGGTCCACGGCCACGACCACGGTGGGGGGGGAGGAGGAAGAGGAGGAGGAGGAGGGAGGCTGTCGGACCTCGATGAGCTCCTGAGCGGAGAACTTGAGCAGCAGGCTCTGGATGGACGCGTGACTAACCGCCGACTCCGACTGACGGGAAACAAACCCATAAAAGGACAGCGTCAGACAAGAGAGCATCACATCAAATGATGGTTTCTGGCATTAACTCATTGGCTGCCAAAGATGTCAATTCAAATACAACCTTTGACTGCCAAAGACGTCTTTTATGTTTTTCAACGCGAGTGGCTTGGGGGACGATCTGCTAAAGCTTGTCCGTAAATATCGGCTTCTAGACAGAGTATGTAGTAACAAATTGACCCTCTAGGGGGCAGTGCCACTTTTGATGGGAGATGAGCATAGACTGTAGGCAAATAAGAAAAACGCAATGGTTCGCTATGAGAGAACATGTCGCCTGTGAGACGCAAGTCGAGGAAGAACGGAATAAGGTAGAAACAAATTTTTTTTCCTGATGAAAGAAGAGAGTCTACTCTTTCTTTTGGTGTGTTCTGTGTTTACATAGTCATAGCACAAACTATTCTGTGGCTCTTGAAAAATCAGTCAAAATGCTAAAAAAAAACTCTGGCAGTATGGGACTCTCTGTTCTGAAAATGGCTGGCAGTCAATGAGTTAAGGACAAAAGCTTACGCTGTGGAGCTCGTTTTTGATGGCGAGGGAGTCGGTGGGCAGGGAGAGGCTCAGGTCGGACAGATATCCCAGCAGCCTCTTCTCTAACTCGGGGTCCGGAGGCTTTTCCGTCTCCTCTGGAGCGCCGGGTGGAGCCGACGGGGCCGGGCTGTCACTCCTGGCTACGGAGCCTTCAGAGCTGCCTCCCCCATCTGGGAGGGGAACAAAAGAGAAAAAACATGAGCTCAGGGAAAAGGAAGAGCATCCTCCGACATCCTGTTTGCATCATCCAAACACTTTGGTTGTAAAAGAATAAAATCCATACTCGGAAAGCTTTAAAGTACACATGATTTCCAGTACTTTTTCAAAGCAGTTCATTATTCAAAAGATGTCTGTAATTGTGTTTTTCATGTTCACATTGTTTAAGGTTTTCCCCCAGTAGGTTATTCTTGTCAATGATGACAAACAAAGATGATTTATTATTTCTAAACTGCCCTGCTCTTTATGTTATGGTACAAAGTATCCTAACAGGATAACCAGCTCAGAATAAACACGTCTTAAGAGATAAGAAAAGAAAGAAACTATCTTTAATATAGAGGATGCATTATGCCTTTTCATCAGCCTTTTTAGTCGAGTTTTGTTTCCTTTTAAATTCAAACTATCACTAATGAAAATACCAAACAAAACCAATCGGAGGGGACCGTGCTGATAAACACAAAAACGGAGGATCCGGTGTGCACGTACCCGCCACGGACAGCTGCGCGGGGTCCTTCCGCCGCCGCTGCAGCCTCTCCCGCAGCGAGTCCAGCTGCTTTTTGTGGGCCTGGATGTTGCTCCATGTGTCTGACATGACGGGCCGGGTCACACGACAACGCAGACGCTGCCGCCGGTCGCACCGAGCTGAGTTTTTGGGACGAAGTTGAGCTCTATGCGCGCTCAGAGCCGCGAAGCAGGCGCGGTACACCGCGAAAACGGGTCGTTCCAGCAATTGGACTGAAACTACAGTTCCGCTCTGACTTTTAACTGATGTTTTATGGGTTAGAAATTCTATAAATGATACTTTTTGGAATATATTACAACTTTATTCCGATAAAAAATATTTTCATTAATCATTTTCGCCCAAAACAGCACAAAATCTTAACAGAATGACTCGGGGGATTCATTTTGTGCACGGACTTGTGTCACTTCCGGCGTTACTGAAATTAAAAGCCTGTTCTCTCTGTGTCAAAACGAAATTTATTCTGGATATTTCACTACATGAGTATATTTATGTCAGAACATAGACGGTAGCTCGATGAAGGAGACATTTACGGCAACACTGGGTCGCATTTAGCTCCTCTAAGTCTTCTCTTTTCAGTCCTGGTTAAGGCAAAGATGGCGGAAACAGGGGAGAGTGGAGATGCTGGGACAGACAAAACCCCAGAGCAAACCATGAAGGTAAGCCCTTCTAAAACGACTGCATAGTTATTGGTTTACACAAGCTGTCTCGAGACCTTTAAATCTTCTGCTTTTGGGGGTCGTTAATGGCGCTGCTACACGTCTCTGTAATTAAACGTTACTGAAACAACTGTCCGCAGATGTCATGCTAACACTTGTTTTTCGTCTCAGATTCAGTTGTTTGCACGGTCTTTCTCTCATCGTGTGGTGGTGTTAGCTGCACATCTGTTACTCTACGCTTTTAATCCGCAGTAAGAAACACTGTGGGCACCTGACTCTGTGATGCTGAGTCAGCAGATTATTCAGGATGAAAACAACATGTAGGCACGATGGAAAGGCTCCAAAATGTTCCGTTTAGTGAGCTCACCAAACAATTAACCCAACAAATACAAGCAGTGGGTTAATGTGGGTTGCAAAAACCTTCATTTATTTACATCTAATCTGAAAAAGATTACACTAAAACAAGAGTAACAGCAACAAAATGTAAAAAAAATGAGTAATTCATATGTCATTTCATCAAAATGTAATCTCACTAAACATTTTCACTGTTTATTGTAGTTTTCTAGTATGTTTTATGGGGAAAAAGAATTCTCGGGACCTTCAGGATAAATGTAATTCTCTTTTTTTAAGATGAATTTAGCTTCTAACTATTACGCCTATTTCATTCTCTCCACTTTCCTCCCACACAGGAGCTTGTAGATGAATTGTACAATTTCAGAGATGGTTATTTTGAGACTCACCCTGTTGAGGAAGCTGGAAAGAAGCAAAGCGACGTGGCCCGGGAGATGGAACAGACCCTGAAGAAGCTGGAGGAGAACGAAGGTGAGCCCCGCGCGTTCAAAACAAACCGCGGGGGTCGATCTGAGCTGCGTGTGGCTTTTTTCCAGCTCTGGCTTCTCTTGTCTTCTAGAGCGCTTTAAGCACAAAGCAGAGTTTCTGCTGCTGAAGGGCCGGTGTCTGAACGTGAGCCCGGACTTCAGCGCGGCGGCAGAGGAGAGCCTTTCCCGCGCCGTGAAGCTGGAGCCCGGCCTGGTGGAGGCCTGGAACGTCCTGGGGGAGCAGTACTGGAAAAGAGGGGACCTGGTCGGGGCCAGGAGCTGCTTCACGGGAGCCCTGCAGCAAGTAATTGAATTGAATTGTACTTTATTGATCTCCAGGGAGAAATTGACTTCCAGTACGGCCCGTACCAAGATCAAACAAACAAAAAAAACACATAGACACACCAGTTCGGGAAGACTGAGGGCAGCCACACAGGAGGGCGCACCAATTTTTCTTCAGAACAAAAAGAATACATTGGGAAAGCGGTTGCGGGAAAAGGGGAAAAAAAAAAAGGCCCAGTGCCACGCCCCCTACAGGGGACGTAACAGTGATTTAAAAAAAAACACCTCGTACACTAAAGCACAGATACAGTCAAATCACAACATCAAGGACACATAGGGAGGGAGGGATGGGGGGGGGTGGAAGGAAGGGGGAAAGGTAACAGCGAGGCAGTGAGTGCAAGGAATGCATGAAGTCTGTACTTGTGTGTGTGAAAGCGTAAGCAAGCTGGAGTCCACATCCACAGGCTGGATGGAATTAGTCCTTGTGATGCCCATACTCCTGCTTGGGAGGAGGGGGGGGCAAAGCGTCCATCTGCAGTTTCATCCAGGGCAAAAGCGGCTGGACGGGGTTTCCGCCATCTTCCCGACTCGGCCGTATGACTCTGTTTGGCTCTTTTTTTAAAAATTTTAAAAAATTTTTTAGATTTTGTTGGCTCTAGTGGCCTTTAATGACAGTAGCTTGACAGGAAAGGGGGCAGAGATAGAGAGGGGGAGACCTGCGGGAAAGGGCCATGGGCTGGATTCGAACCCAGAGGCTCCGCACATGGGCCGCCCGCTCTAACCATTAGGCTACGGCTGCGGCCCTTGTTTGGCTCTTTTTGCAGAAGAAGAACAAAGTCTCCCTCCGGAACCTGTCCATGGTGCTGCGGCAGCTGCCGGCCGGCAGCAGCGAGGCGCACGGGAAGCAGGTCCTGGAGAGCGTGGACATGGCGCGGCAGGCCGTGCAGCTGGACGTCACCGACGGGACGTCCTGGCGTGAGTCGCCGGTCCAGACTAGCGTCGGAGCGCCTCTTTTGGTTTTTTATTAATTTTTTTAGAAAGCCTCTGTCTTTGTGTTTTCACAGATATTTTGGGGAACGCCTACGTCTCTTTGTTTTTCACCTGTGGACAAAACCCACAGTTCTCCCAACAGGCGCTCAGTGCCTACGCCAAATCTGTGAGTACAGGCCACTCTGAGTAGGGTTGTCAAAAGTATCGATACTCAAAAAAAGTTTCGATACTAAAACGTTGTATCCGGATACGATTCTCATTTTGAAAAGTATCGATACCACCCTGCCAACGCTGCGCCCCTTTTATTTATTATTTATTTATTTACGTTTATTATCATTAACATGACGTTAGCCTTGAATTGCTAGCTGCGGCTAATGGCTAATAATAACATGCCAACATGAATCAAGTCCGTCTGGCTGCAGACTGCAGGAAACCAAGAATGTAGATCCAACTCCACCCACATCCAAGTCGGCCATTTTGATTAGGTCACCAATAGGAAGATCCCAGACAAGAAAATCCTAATTGCTTCATGGCAACATAGACATTAATTAAAAAATAGTGAAATGAATCTTGCAAACACTGAATTAAACTCTATACATAATATTATGTTAAAATAGTGTATGTTAAATAGGTTTGTACAATAAGTCCAAACAAGTTTAATAAAAAAATATATATTTCTCACAATTATGAAGGGTGGAGGGTTAGGGTTAAGGTCAGTTATGTGGGCCACCGTTCACGATAACATCTGTAATAGGTACGTTTGAAATGAAAGACACTAACCTGTCGAAATTCAGTAAAATTTTGGGGTCTTTGTTTTTATACCTGTGGTATCGAAAATGGTATCGAGGATCAAATATTTTCGGTTTCGAGTTGAACATTTTAGTATCGTGACAACCCTAACTCTGAGGCACGTTC